AGAGTCAGCTTAGGCTGGCGCGGGAGCCTATTCCCTTACAGGACTTGTTATTGCCTAATTTAAACTTTGCATAATGTGGGGTTTTGTTAGTAATAGTAGGTTTTAATGTAGGCGTCGGAAAAATTCATCCAAAAAGATGAAATTTGTGATTTTACGAAATTTAACAGCAAATTCTTTCTCGTAGCGAAATAATGCTGATGCATAATGAGCATCTGGATGATAAGCTCATAGTTGACGTGTTTGAGTCATGAATTTCAAAGGTAAACGGAAGCTCAAGGCTTCAAAATATTACTTCAAAATTTTATTATGGATGTTCTAAATTTTTTATAATTTATGTAATGCTTTTTCATGAACTAAAAATATATTGTTCTCTTGTCCCAACCTTTTTTTTTTTTTTTAAATGTCAATGAATTTCTTCACATTTTCTAGCCAAAATATATATTCCTGATTTTCTTTATGAGTAGAATATCTAAGTATATAATGTGATAAATCATCATTTATACCACGATGTTCTAAATATTTAATAAATAAATGTCGAAAATCCTTTATATCGAAGGGGAAATTTATAAATAAATTAATTGATGAATGTAGATAAGTAATTAAAAATTGGAATAAATACTTACTCGGCTTAAATTAAGAAAAGGAATAGCAATCTTCACATGATTTATTTGTGGAACTTCATAAAATGAAATATTGTCAATTAAAAAACTACCTTCTCGAGCAAACGCTTCGAATGCTAATACTCCTTTTTCTTTCTAAAAACAAAAAGGAAAAAAAAGTTTTCTTTTTAATATATTGATTTGTCAGAGAGGAACGAATTTACGTAACTTACTTTATCGATAGTTATGGCACATCTTAAAGTTTTTTCGGGATCTGGTTCTTCTTCAAAATCGTCCTATGAATGATAATCAAAGGAAATGTTAACGATCTTTACAACAATGTCAAACTTTCTATACTATAAAAACAAAATTTCTTTAATCTATCAGAAAAATTTTTTCCCAAAAGTAATTCTCATCAATATATTTCAGATGTCCCTATCTGATTACTTGATTTTATCATCATAAATCTATCATTTCATTTTCGGTTTACAAAAAAAAATTATTTTTTCATCGTACGTACATCAGAAGAATCGATTAATTCTTCGCTTTTACTTGTTTCATATGTTGATGATGTTGCCGTTGATTCTTCAGATTGTTCTGAAATTTCAACTTCTTCTTCATCCTCTTCCTCCTCAGCGTCAAGTAATTCTGATTCGTCACCCAAAAAGTCTACTGGTGTAACCTTGAATAGGATTCGAATCCTATCATTTTAACAAAAGTTTGAAGAATTAGTTTAGATAAAAAATAAAACTTTATTACTACATACTTTTCATCATTAAATTCTCTTGTCAAATTAACTTCATTCAAAGTTCTCTTATCAACAAGCTAAATCCAAAAGATAAAAAGAACATTACTTAATTTCAATTAAGGAATCTACAATAAGAAATGAACCAGAGTAATTTACTTACTTCCCAATTGAATTGATGTAGTGATACGTTTGTTGGTTTAGTTATGATAGAAGAATTTTCTTTATAATCGTTTACATTATCAATAATTTCTGTTGAAGTGGATATTGAATCTTTTTCTTTTTCATAATATGTTAATTCTTCTGCTAATTGAGCACTTAAATCTTTATCGGCTATACAAATTAACGACGAAGATAATTTTTTAATTATCTTTATTAATTAATTTTTCAAGGAGAACAAAGAGTAAGGTACAAGGAATATTAAAAAAAAAAAAAAAAAAAAAAAAAAAAAAACCTTGTTTTTAACAAAAAGCTCGAACTAAAAGACATACCCAAACCATGCATAAATCTAAATCTGATACTTTTTGTGTTTATAAAACCATTCTTATTATAATTCTTATTCAGTATTAATGAGGATGATAATTTATTAAATTTATTAAAATAATTATTATTATTAAACGAATAATAACGAAATAATACCCTTGGAAATATTATTGCTGACATTTGTTTGAAAAAAAAAAAAAATTTTTTTTTTTAAAAAAATAAATTAAATTTTGATTGATGATCGATAAAGATAATCTTTTTAATCAAAAAAAAAATCTTTTACAACATAAAGATTATCTGTAGATTAATTAAAGATACACGCGACTTTTTTTTAAGTTGACGATAACTAAGAGGGTAGGATCATTTAATTTTTTTTTTTGCTTCTTTAAAATTTCGCGATCTGACCAAAATAATCAGCAATTTCTTTTTGCAAAAAATTTTAAAAAATTTGAAAGCCTTTAGATGATATGGGGGCCTTTGCTTTGTCAAATATGATTTTTAGGCTAAAATATGTTCAAATTTAGCATTAACTCATTTTTTATTTTTCCGGCAGTTTCCCCCTTTTATTAAGTCGGAATTTTTAAAAAAATGAGTTAGAGTTAAAATTTTATGATTTAAATTCATAAATTTTCTTGAATAAATGTGATGAGAAACAGGAAAGGGGCTTGAAGGTTGTGCATTTTTTGCACGATGGAGAATTTAGACGGATGATATTTTTTTTTTGTTGAAATGAAATCCTCCCAAAATTTATTTGTACTAAAATAAAAAGCCTGTTAGTCTTTAACTAGTTTTCCCAATATTAAAAGATATCACATTTATAAAGTGCGTCAAAATTCAATTAAAAACAAATTCGCTTTATTTAAAGTTTGATTAATCATTTCATTATGTAATTTATTTATTTATTTATTAAAAGAATACTGACAAAAACCAATGTGGGGGAAAATTAATGAAATGAGCTAAACTAAAATGGAATGTGGCTTTGAATTAGCACCATGATCCTGTGATAAAAAAGAATTTCTTGTATATATTTATTTCGACAAGTTTTTTTCTTTTTTTGTTCTTTTAAACATATGAAGAAAGTATGATGAGTTTTTTTTTAAATCCCTTTAATTGGTTGGTAATGAGAAAATATTTAAATGAAAAAAGATCTACACTTTTTAATAAAACAATAAGAATCAATCAAGAATAAAAATGTAATCATAACACGATTTGGTTAGTGAACTATCTTGGAAGAAAAGAGAAATTTTTCGTGGTCAAAAAGTTAAACCCGTTTTGATTTTTCATCCACTATTTGGGCATGTGACAAATTAAAAGTTAAACATGAGCTATTCGAATAATAGCATAGCAGGATCGCATAACCCAGTTTTTTGATCAACTCCCAATAAGCACGCTAAATAAAAACGAAGAAAGTTACATTATGCCGCAGCTAAACGCGCAATCATTTTTCTTTCAACAATAAACAAATCGTTCCTTTTGATTTAAGTTGATGAAAAAACATTATGGGGTAAAAATATGACTGTAATGTGATATCCCTTGCTTGATTGTTTTTAATGAAAAAAAAATTAAAAATCACGAGCAATGATTAGTTTCGTTGTTCTCTTTTGACTCCTTTTCTTTTATTTAACGTGCGTGTAACCTCCTTGCATGGTGGGATTTGTAAACAAGTTATTGCTAAAAGTCGTTCTCTCAACCTTAACTTCTTTTTTGTGTGGGGAAATTGTTTAACTATAACGAGAAAGGAATAACTGATATTATCTGATGCTGCATCTCACATGTGCAAATCATAATCTGCGAGAGTTGAATAACAACACCAATTAAAATCTAAATTTTTTTTTTTTTTATAGCATTCTATTACATTCCATTAAATTCTATTAATTTTGCATATTACAATATTACAGTAGCATATTAAAAAGATTATATTTGCCCACTTTACCATCTATACAGTAATTACGTTTTAGATCGACGCCTACATCCCCGCATTATATAATTTAATAGTATAAAAAAAAAAATAACATATATATATACACTAATATAAAAAAATCAACAAGCATAAAAACCCTTTCCAAATTTAAAAAAAAAAATTTTTTTTTTTCCTTTTAAAAAAAAAAAAAAAAATGTATGATTTAACGTCTTTTCAAACTTCAATCGAAAATAAATTACGAAAAAGTCAAAATCATCAAAATGATGATTCAACAAATAATAAATCAAAAGCTGTTTTGGTTAAATCATCTTGTCGTCCTCGTAGTAATGATAGTGGTTGGATGTTACTTGACCATGCAGCATTGCTTACTTCTCAAGCAACAGTTTTAACGGCAAATTTTTTCACACATCATTTATCGGGTCCAAGGAAACCTTCTTGGCCAATTCAACTTACTCTAATGTGCGCTGCAATGAGAACATTAACGGATCATACCCATTTAGTTGATGTAGAAATGTTAAGACGTTTCATTAATTTACCCTTTGCTTTCACCCCTTCGGATATTATCGTTACTCCTGTTTCATTTAAGGTTTTAAATAGAGGTTTAAAAGGTATGCTTGGAGAACTTGAAGAAAAAGAAACTGGTATTAGGGAAATAAGTTGTGAATGGGTTGTTCCTAAATCACTTTGGAGGAAAATTAATGAAGAATTTCGTTCATCCGCTGCTAATTCTAAGCATATTTATATTGATGATGATGGAATAAAATGGTCAAATGAGAAAGTTATCTTGTATGTACATGGCGGTGCTTATTATTTAATGTCTGCGAAAACTCATCGTGAAATAAATTATCGTCTTTCAAAGGTAACTGGAAGAAGAGTTTTCGGTAAGTGTGTGAGATCTCGTTGACCCACGTGACATGTGAACATCAATTTTTGGAAAGATCATTGATGATCTCTAACTTTATATATCCATACTTACGTCATTAGCGATCAATTATCGACTTGCTCCTGAAGGACCTTTCCCATGTGGTCTACATGATGCCGTTCATTCTTTCCTTTATTTGATTGATCCCAATGGATTGGCGATTCAGCCAGAAAATATAGTTGTTGCTGGCGATAGTGCTGGAGGTGGTTTAGGTATGTACCTTTCTATACATATCTATGTTTTATTTGCCTAAAAAAAATTCCCCACTGAAAATTATACTTGAATCTCTTTATCAGCCTTGGCATTATTGTTCTATCTCAGGGATAATCACATGCCATTGCCTGGTGGTGCAGTATTATTTTCCGTAAGTAGATTTGTATAAGGTTTCTTGTGGTGTCATCTTTTCTTTTCAAGAAAAGGTAAAACCAAAACCTTTTCATTATATATATATAGCCTTGGGTCGATTTAACCATGTCATGCGCCAGTTGGGATCAAAATCAACATTATGATTATCTCTTCAAACAAAAGGATGAAGATCCCTTGCATCCAGTCAAATTATATTTGCACCCTCATGAAGAACGTGCCAAATTGGTTACCCATCCTTACGTATCACCTTTATTTGGGGATTTAAATCACTTACCCCCTTTATTAATACAATGTGGTGATTCCGAAGTATTACGGGATGAAATTTACTTGTTGGCACATAAAGCTTCAGAAACTGGAACGACATTTGTTCAACACGAAGTTTACGAAGGTAAATCATCCCGATAAATATGTTGAGCTGATTTGTACGTACTCCCAACTTCATTCATTCTTTAATTTAGAATATATATTTGATTTTATAATGAATTAGATATGGTTCACGTGTTTCAAATGTTTAACTTCCTTGAACCAGCAACAAAGGCTTTGGATTCAGTAGGATATTTCGTTAAAAATATAATACCGATTTATCAAAGAAACACCTTGTTACATCAAGCGAATCGCGGAAGGTTTTCTATGCCAGATTATAAATTACCAAGACCTGTAGAATTAACCCAACAAAGTTCTACATGTGGTTATACGAGTCCAACGGATCTACCTCCAATCAAGGTGGATAAATCAACTTCAACACACGAAGATGGAATAATCGTTCATTCAACATCGAATAATCCCTACTCGAGAAGAACGAAGGAAAATAAACCTACAAGTGCACCTTCACACCATCGTCCTATGATGAACACTTCATTTTTGTGCTCTTCTAATCGCAATAACAAAAATAATGGACATTATAATCAATGTCATCCTCAACGTACCCGCCCACAACCTACGATTAAACCTTTAAGATCTTCAAGTTATCCTGATCTAAAACAATTATATACGGATTATAATGAGCATCCCGCTATTAAATCAAGCTTTGTGAAGTCTGATGGGAAAACTGAAGAAATAAATGATGTTGATTGTGAACAAATGCACATGAATGGGATGATGAATAAGAATGGTAAAAAGGAAGTTAGCGTTGGAGTTGGACCAGATCGTTAAGGTATTACATACATGGAGATATTTTTATTTATTAGATGCTTCCCTCATTCAACATATAAATTTATAAAAAATGCATATCCATTTCGATAGGTCAACTTTTTTCCTTTGAAATATAAATTATTAAATCCATAAGATCAACAATTATTACACATCTATATATTCTTCTGATTTGTAGTATATCATCTGGTTTGCTTTTATTATTTGTAAATTTGAGGAACATTCTTTTTTTTGTTTTGTTTTTTTTTTACATTACAACATTCCACTTTTTGTTTTTATTTAACCACTTATATATATATATATCGTTTATTACTGCATTTGTTATCTTTATCAATGAACTTCAGTTGATAAAGATTTTCCTTATTTCTTTTTTTTTTTGTATGTAATTATAATTTAGCTTTAAAATAATCTTTATTAAAATTTTCATCCATTCCAAATAAATGTCTTTTTAAATAAAGATTTAGAAACATCCCATTTGGATCTAAAGATTTTTGTAATTCTATGAATTCTTTAAATTTTGGGTATGATTTCTCGAGTTCTGCTGCTGTCATTGTATGCTCCTAAAAAAAAATTTTATAAACATCAAGTATATATTTAAATGATCCTTTTTACTAAATAAATACCTTTGCCCAATATGGTCTCCCGTCACAAGATCTCATTATCTCTTCAAATGCAGCCCAATACTTTTTATAAGGGACGGGTTTGTTATATGGTCTAAAGAAAATGTTTCCTTTTTAATCGTGTTATTTTATTTATTTAAAAGAAAAGATAGTTTTTCTCACCTATACATAATAATACCAATATAACAAACTTTTCTTTTGTAAGCAGGACTTAGCCAAATATCATCTTTATCCACAAATCGTACTTCAACAGGAAAATGAACAAAAACACCATTACCATTTACCCATTCATACAATTTTTCTAAAGCTTCTTTGGTTTTTTCCAGAGGTATAGCCCATTCGTTAGTATATTGTGGAAATAAACAATCAAAGTTAAATTGTTTATAAGAATCGTTTATGACTTGTTTTGGTTGAGAGAATTTGTATTTAAACATTAAAGTGGTTAATAATGGAACCGTTGAAGGAAAGCATCGAGTAATGTTTAACAAAAATTGATAAAGATGAAATGAAATTATGTGATCTTTGAAATAACTGGATTGTTGAATTTTCAAATTCTAATGAAAAAAAAAAATTTAGAAAGGAATGAGCGCGTCAAAACAAATAATAATAATACTTACCTCAGTCGTTCGATCGGCTTTCCAAATAATACAATTCTCCGTATGAGGAAACCACCAAATTCTAACGTGTTCCGCAGAATTAATAATCGAATCCAGGTTCTTTAATATATCATTTAATTTCATCGAATATTGGTTGGATTTCAACTTAAATGCTGATTCACATTGTATTTTAACTTTTAATATGATTCCTAATGCTCCCATACTACATAACGATGCTTTAAATACGTCTTCATTTTCATTTGCGGAGCAATTTATTATTCCCCTTGAAGCTGTCAATAAAGTTAATTCGACAACCTAATTTATTTATTTGAAAAAAAATGAAAAACGCGTGAATCTTATTAAAATTATTAATAATTATTGCAATGAAAACAATATTTACCTGAGTAGATTGATTACCGAAATTTATTCCTGTACCATGGGTAGTAGTTGATATGGCTCCAGAAATACTTTGATCAGAAATTGAACCTAAATTACTTAATGCTAACCCATGTTTCCATAAACACTCGTTTAATTTATCAATCCTTGCACCAGCTTCAACCACCACGGTTTTCTTTTCTATATCGACCTTTATAATTTTAGGGGTGAGTTGACAATTCTCGATTGCATCACGTGAAGTTTATTTATTTGATTTTGTTACCTCGATGATTTTATTAAGCTTTTCCATGTTAATCATGATTCCTTCAGTACACGCGACGTCAGATGGCGAATGACCTGCTCCAACCGCTCTCACATTTTTATTATAAAGCTTAGCCAACTCAATTATCTATTAATTGTTTATTTGTATATCCATCCATCAATCAATGTTTTTTAAAAAATTAAACGAATTTAATTTCCGAAAAAGATTTACAATTACCTTAATAATGTCATCATCATTTTCGGGTTCAAAATACAATTCAGGTATACATTCAAATGTGTGTGCCCAATTAGAAAATTTTATATTGTTTTTTACAATTTTTCTTAATCGAATATTTTCGATTTCAATCATTCTTTTTTTAAGGGAAAAAATTTTTTTTTGCCTAAAAAGAATACATATATATATTTAATTATTAAATGATTTATCTATAAATGGAAAACTTTAACTGTTAATTAACGATATGATCTTTTTAATAATCATATCACGAGAATAAAAAGCACATCAGTTTATCTAAATAATCGGACCTTAGAAATTGCTTACAAATTTGTTAATCAAAAAAGCAATCTTCGATTACAATGCCGCCAACTGTGACACACATTCAAAAGTCAAACTTGTTTTTTTTGATTGATCGATCTGAATTGCCGCAGTAAAATCGTTTATCATATGTTACATTTTATATTTTAAGTACACGAATTTGAGATTTTCTAATTGAATCAAACAATCAATCAGGAGGGCGAATTTTGTGAGATGATGATTTTGATTAAAGGATAAATGATTGATAAAGTAGCATAGAAAGTTTTACTAAAGTAAGTAGTAGCATCATCAAATGGCTCTAATAAATCCACAATTTGCTTCAATAAGTCCCATTCATAAGGTAATAAAAGCCGCTTTTTAAGTTTTCTTCCATCTGCACGATTTTCAGCATTATCAGATAAAGGTAAAGTTGCACTTAACCATTCAATTGCTTTGTGTAACTTTAATAAACGATTCCAGAAATGATATTTAGAGTTCTATCAAGTTTTTATATCAGTAATATTTCGCACAATTGGTTGATTTGAATTGGTTGAATCTAACATTGGTAGTTCATTTGTACTATTATCATTATCATCAGAATCGTCATCAGTAAAACTATCAGAAATATTTGGTATAGTTGTATTATTAAATCATTGACATTCTTTTTGTGCATCATCAAGGCATTCACTTTGTTTAGGGAAACTTGTAAAAAAGTGTACTAAACGTTTAATCCGCTTAATATAAACATTTGTTTTTTAAATGCACAATAAATTGAAAGTTGCAAAATATAGGCAGCACAAGGTAAATGAACAACATCATCCCATTGATTGATTGCATTAACCATATTACTTTCATTGTCAGTTACAACACAGGTAATTTTTCCTTTCAACCCAAATTCAACCACTGCTTTTTTTAAAAATGATACAATATTTGTTTCAGTATGTGAATATAGCATTCGTTCTATAGAAAGAAGACAATCATATACTTCAAAATCCTTTGACATATGTAAAGTTATACCAATATACTCATGTTTACTTTTAGCTGTTCAAAGATCAGTTGTCAAAGAAGCTGATTCACAAGTATTTTCAAGTAATTTCTTTAATCCTCCAATTGCATTGGTATATCCAATATGAATTTCTTTTTTTATTCTTTTATTAAATAGAATTGGAAATGTAGGATCAAGTATTATCATCATTTTTCGATAATCTTGTTTTAAATAACATTAATTGAAAGGTTATTAATAGTTATCCATTCAGTAATAGCTTGCCTAATTTTTTGATTTTGTGGTTCTTTATGTGGTTTAATCATTGCTTTTTCCACTACTTGTGTATAGTTAATTGAATAGATTTATCATTGGCTATATATAATATAATTAAATAAATAAAATATTAAATTTATGATAAATATATATTCTTTGTTTAAAAAATTATAATATTATTTATTACCTTATTCATTTTTTTATAAATGTCATGCCTTTCACAAAGATGGTTAGCCATGTTTCCTGTAGATCTATCATGTAAAAATCGCTGATCAAAATATATTTCTTCATTTTGCAAATTTATAACCGAAACTTGATAAATATCATACTTATTTTCTTGGATTATATATTGTTATACCTAACTAGTTTTACTATATTTGCGTTTCAATTTACATAATTTTATTTTTTGTTACATACAATTGATCTTCATCAGGAAAAACTGTTGAAGCTGATAAAGCAGTTGAAGGAGCAGTTGAAGGAACTCTATTAGAGCTAGTGAAGATATCATTAAAAGTACTATCTATTTCTGAATCTGTATCAAAAATATTATCCCATTATCATCTATTTTAAATATTCTTACAGCCATTAAACAGATAAAAAATAAGCTTAAAAAAATCAAAGAATCTTTTATAGTAAATGAAAGAATGAAAGATAAAGAATTTTTTTTTGTAACAAATTGAAGGTAAATATAGTAAAAAAATTTGTAATTTTTTTTATAGCAAACTGAAGATAAGTATAGCAAAATAAAAAATAAAAATTCTTTTTTGTGACTGATAATTGAAAAAAAAATGAATTCTTTTTGGGATAAACAGAAGGTAATAATAAAAAAAAATTCAAAAAATTTTTTTTTTTAGTTGTGACAACAGGAGAGAGAAATTATTTTTTGTGATAGATGAAAAGAAGTATAAAATTGTAAATTTAAACTTTTAATACATAGTAAAGTTAAAATGATAATATTAAAACTTAATATAGTGAAAGTTTCAATTTCTTATTTATCGTTTACATTTCAATAATCGAAACTAATTTTTTAAGGATTTCTTTTTTTTGTATTTTATATAGTTCAGTAAAACAATTTAGATTGGAATATATAATCCTGATTGGGTTATTAACCCAGTTTGATAATCTGAGTGATTTAACACAAATATCTGGATTCTCAAATATTAAACTGATTTAATACGGATGACCTGAGTGAACATTAACTGGTTCCAATCCCTATATAAACTTTCAATTTATTATATTTGATTTGTAATTTTCCTTAATATTAGAAAAATTACTTTTAATAATATTTTAATTTAAATATTTTGTAATCAAAATGGTGATGTATAATTAAATATTCATAATATTGATATTAAATATGTTGATGATTCTAAATATAATTAATGATACAAAAAAATTAGTTGTTAATACAAAGTATTGTTGATATAAAGCAAGTTAGTAATACTAAGTACAATTATTGACATTAAGTACAATAATGTTAATATAAAGCAAATTATTTTATATAAGATAATTTAGTAAAGAATTTTATTAGTTTTATTAACTTAATATAAGGCAAAAAGGGGGTTCTAGAACAATAATCCAAAAGATATTCAGAAAGGTTTTCTGACTGCCTATAAATCCATTTTAGCTATATGAAATCCATTATTAAATTTAAACCTCTAGCGTGATTTGACTCAATTCTAGATGATAATATCGAACTTGTCTAGGAATTAACCTTCAGATATAAAGAATTATACTGTTTGATATAACCATTCTAGTATAATTTTAATCACAAATAATATATCAAAAAATTTTTACTATTCTGTTTGCCTCAAGAGGAACCATCAAAAATCAAAGAATAAAGTGATATGATTTAAGCTGGGCCTGACATTGCAAACCCAATATGATTAATAACTTTTATGCTATTCTGCTTGCCTCTAGAGAGACCATTAAAAATCAAGAAATCAATAACGTAATTTGAGTTGGACCTGACTATGCATGCCTAAAATGCATACCATATTTCATGATATCCTAAAATTAATTCTAAAGCTAATTCATTAACGTAAACAAAATCAAAATTTCGGTATCTACATTGATGTAAATACCAAAATTTGGTATGCATACAAGAAAGTTAAAAAGTCACAGAACACATTCTAGTATACCATTTTTTTTAATACATTCTAAAACCATTTCATTTACGTAAAGCTAAGTCAAAAAAAATGGTATCAGAATACCAAAATTCTGAACAGGGTACCAAATTTTCAAACAGGATACCAAAATTTAAATTGTCTATTTACTATTTATTAGGGGCTTAGAGCATAGTCTGTTATAGTATTGGAAGACATAAAACCCTTTTATATGATTAGGATATAAACCAGAAGCTAATCTATTAAGTCTATCACATTCACTACAAGGAGTAAGTTGCTTATTAGCTAACTTTATAACATATTTCTAATGAATAGAACATCTTTGTTCGCGTATACAGGATCGTTCACAAATTTACCAGAGAAGTGTATAAAGGGGCAAGTATATTCACCATACATAATGTAATTATTTTTTATATACCAAAATAATTAATTAAAATAAAAAGTTTATATAAGTATCATATAATAAATCAAGCACTTACATAATGAATACACAAATTCAATTATCTGATACTAAACTCACATACTAGGAAATAGAGCAGGTATTAGTAAATGTAGTTAAGGCTGACATTTATTATAGATGACCAAAAGATGGCAAATTCATGCAAAACTATAAAGAGCAAGTAAAAAAATTACGCCAGGCAGAAGATCCCGATGCATATATCCTAGAAAATGCAAAAAGTTTGTTCTCAGATAAGGATAAATATCATAGTATTATGGATGACTATAAATCTTAGTATGGAAAAGATCCAAAAATTCTTAACGCTGTCATAGAACTATATAAATTATACTATAAATTAGCTAAGGATTACTTTATTACTGATTAAAAATGGTACAGCAATTGATTTCAAATTTACAAAATGTTGCAACATAAGCTAAAATTAGTTGCAACATATATAGGTTAAAACTAATTGCAACGTAAGTTGCAACATTAAAAGTTACAACATATTAATTACAGTTCCCATCTTTATTACTGATAAACAAGTTGATGAAGAGACAGAAAACTTCCTATTATCACTTTAGAAATTTAATTTGTGAGCACCCACTGGGGAGGCAATTCTGTATCATAAGGTATAATCTCAAACAAAAGATCTTTTAGGATATTTGAGAATATAATCATCATTATCAATTAACCTAAAGGTGACTTCTTCCAGCCAGTATAAGACTGGTTGATTTTTTTGTACCATAGATTGACGGATATAATAAATATGTGAAGACCAATTCAAATTATCAGCATGATGTCTTCCTCCTTTCTGATTACTAGGATATAGTAAATATTTTATAAGCATATCACCAGAAAGCTTCTCTTCATCAAAGCCTACAGGATCATCTTGAGAATAAGAAGACTTAGAGATAATACTTTTTCTTTTTATTGCTTCAGCAGGTGAAATACCAAGATGGCATGTGATAGAATTAGTAATATCTTTTACTATTGTAGTAACAACATTTGGTAAATTTTTTATTAGAGTCTCTAAGCTTTCATATTGAATTGAATCAAGAGGATGAGGAAAAGTAATCAATAAATCTTTTTCATCAAGAATACGATAAAATATCTCAGTAAATGTTCTATTATATCTTTCGATAATACAGTATTTTTAGACTTGGCCTTCTGAATTTTTACGTTATGCTTTCTTAGTATTTTTTCACATTCGCCCTTGAATTTAGACCCCTTATCTGATAGAAATACTTTTGGCCAAATAAGAGGGTTTTCAGGATCATCATAAATTTTTTCTAAACATTTTGCAATTGTAGATGAAGTTAAAATACCTTGCATATTCTTAATACTCTTGGCAGGCCACCTAAGTGCTATACCAATAGGAACAGTTACTTTATATTTTGAAGCTACATCAATTAAGTTAAGGTAAAAAAGATAAATTGTTCGTTCAGACTTAACATGTTGTGTATAAAAAACATCTACTTGGTGTAATTCATTGGGAGTAGTAATAGAGCTAAAACTTGCTTGAGGAATATATCTAGAATGAGGTTTATGTATTTGGTGTACATCTTATCTTTCAAGCCAATCCTTCACCTCTTCTAGAGTAAAATCAAACCCAGCTTTTAGAGAAGCTTCATGCAATTTTTTTGCAATCTTTTGATAGCCCGAAGGCTGGTAATAAATCTTTTGCAAATCAATAGATATATCTAAATTTCTAGCTTTATTCAAATCTATTTGTATAATAGGAATCAATGTCATGGATCTGGCTTATATCGAAATCCTTGATACTAATAAAGAGTTG